CATAATGCGCAGGTTGACTTATTGGAAAATGCTCTCCGCAAGCAGTTCCTCATGATTTATTAAATACAGAATGACATTTCCGAAGAAAAAGAAAAAAAAAACTTCTAGACTTCAGCGATGGATAAAAAGATGAATGCTTATTTGTTTATGTGATAGGATTGTTGCGAAATAGGCCTACGGTTGATATTGATCGGATCTTAAAGCATCGGGATATCATATTCCGACATTTTCTGTGCTCTGTCATGCGACTTTGCTTGCCTGACCTCGGCACAGAGTCTGCCTCGTCGGGTGTGTTCGTGTAGGTAAGAGCTAATTAATTTTATATCTTATGTTTATTTGTTAAGCTTTTAGTATTTATTAATGATGTTGTTGTTTTTGATGTCATGATCATTATTGTTAGTAGTAGTATTGTTTCCATTTATTTATTTTTGAAGATATTGTAGTGTGAGTTTATATACTTGTTTCATTACCTCTGATCGAGAATACAGATTGTAGGGGATTGATCGGATATTAACTGATCTTTGGAGCAGTGTCTTCCCAGGCATTTAAAAACAGCACATTTAGGCCAGTCACTGCAAAACAGAAACAGACTCGTAAATAGGTTTGGCCGGGGCTAATTTTAGTGGTTCAGGAGGAGTGCCAGTTGAGGGTGGCACGCCCGAAGTGTGTCAGGGAGGAAGCAGGAGTGCCCCGATTGGAAATGCCATTGCGAGCGAGATTTCTGGAGGGGACGATGGCCCATCTAAGCCATGGGGCGGCAGCGGGCGTCGTCAGGAGAGAACCGGGGATGTTTTCTTGCGTGGCGCTGGAAGTCTCCAATTAGGCCAGCTTCACCTGACGCGGCCGCCAGTTGATTCTTCAGTCACGTTCAGTATGAAGTATGACTGCGGCTGAAGGTGATTTCGTGCGTTTGCAAAAGGTGCCTTGGGCTGCGTTGACGTGGCTGGGTGATTCACGCGATTTGTGTCGGTGCTGGTGCGTGCACACGTAGGCGAGGTGCTTCTTTTGTCAATCATTTACGATCATCATATGCTGGTGTAAACATTAAAACGCATGTGGCCTTTGCCATAGCAATACCAAATAGAACTTAATTGACCTTTGTGAAGGTCGAGGTGAAGCGTATGAGAATTTGTTTTACTTGCTACCATGTCGGTTGCAGTTACATAAGCCGTTTGGCTCGGTCTCAGCCAGCATTGCTTTCTCCCTGTTGCTTAGCCCGGCGGTGCATGCAGCTGACGGCCCTCGCCTCGCTTGCTCGCCCACATGCACACTTCATGATGCGCCCACCGAGGCTCATGGTGGGCCTGGTCTCTTCGCTTGTCTTCTCTTCTCTTCTCTTCTCTTCTCTTCTCTTCTCTTCTCTTCTCTTCTCTCTCTCTCTCTCTCTCTCTCTCTCTCTCTCTGTCTCTCTGTCTCTCTGTCTCTCTCCCTTTCTCTTTCTCTCTCTCCCTTTCTCTTTCTCTCTCTCTTTCTGTCTCTTTCGTGCCTACATTCCAGTCACACTCTTGTGCACCTGCATCGCTTTTGCGAAGCTGCTTCCCCGGCTTCGCCCCCGGCCGGAATACCCGGGACGATGTTCCATCCTGTACCGCGCTGGTTTCCGATTGCACCCCGCTCCTACCCCCCCCCCCCCCATGGCACTCAGGAGAGGCTTAGGCACATTGCAGCCATAGGGTTTTGGCAAGAAAGAAAAAAAAAAGGCAAAAATCGATATATCTTCCTAGCCGGCGGCGGCGAAGAAGAGGAGGTGGTGTGCAGCTCGGCAGCGTTGCACGTCAGCACTAACCCTGACCTAGTTCTGAAACCTCTGCGTTCCCCTCTTTGCTTCGCCGAGACATGCCTTCGCTGTGGTTTATCATATTGTCGCCCTTTCCCCTCTTCTGTTTGCCCTTCCCACCACCCTTCTTCTTCCCCTCTCTCTGTTCTCCATCTTCTCCGCTATCGCTTCTCGTCTTCCCCCCCCCTAGCCTTTTCCCTCTCTCTCTTTCTCCTCTCTCCTTCCTTTTCCCTCTTTTTCCTTACCCTCTTTCTTTTCCCTCCCCCTTCTTTTCCCCTTTCCCTCCCCCCTCCGCTTCCCTTCGCCCTTTCCCTTCCTCTCCCCCATACCCTTCACCCCCACTTTTTCCCCTTTTCCTTTCTTCTCCTTCCTTCTACCCTTTCTCCTCTTCTCCTCTCCTCCTCTCCCGTCTCATCTCCCTCCCCCTACTTTTCCTTCCCCCTCTCCCTCTCCTCTCTCCTTTCCCCTCTCCCTCTCTTCTCTCCTTTCCCCTCTCCCTCTCTTCTCTCCTTTCCCCTCTCCCTCTCTTCTCTCCTTTCCCCTCTCCCTCTCTTCTCTCCTTTCCCCTTCTCCGTTACCGTTCCCCTATCTCCTCTTCTCCCCTCTTCCTTTCCCCTCTTTCTTCGCCGTACCCTATCCCCTCTTCTCCTCCTCGTTCCCTCTCCCGTCTCCCCCCCCCCCTACCTTTTCCCCTATCCTTCCCCTTCTCCCTTTCTTCCCCCTATTCCCTTCTCCCTTTCTTCCCCCTATTCCCTTCTCCTTTCCTCTTTCCTCCACTTGCTTCGGCTAATCGTCAGTCACTGCCTGTGCTTTACCTCTCGTGCCTGTGTCTAAATACTCAGCCATTTAACACTTACTCACTATTCCTGGCCTACTTTATCTTCTCGATTTGCATGTCCTATTTGCTATACAGTCGGCGTGTCCCGTTCGCTCTGTCATTTGCATGTTCTCTTGGGGTGTTCTGTTTGCTACACTCTCTTATTTCTAGGTCCGGTCCACTTTGCTTTTAGTCGTTTTAAGCCATTTGCTCCGCCCGTTGTTCTGCCTCATTATCTTGGTTTTGTATCACTCCTTTCCTTTCCCTGTCTTGCTCCATTATCTCGTGTTCAGTTGGTACCGCTTCAGCACCTGCGTTTATTCGTTTTATTCATAAAGGTTTAGTCTGTAGTCTGTTCCATTACTCCATTGGTTTTCGTTTGATCAAGCGTTCAATTAACATTCCCCGAGGGGCGCTAAATATAGTAGCCGGTCAGCTGTTCCCCTTGGCGTCAGTTTTTTTTTGACAGGTCATATCCATTTTTCACCTTGCTGGGGATTCCTCATGCTCATGTCCCCTAGCCGATGTTTTCTTTTTTTTTCCTTGCAAGTTTTCTTCATGATTTAGAATATTTATGCATGTCTGTATATGACACGTACACGCACGCATACGCACACACATACACACACGCACGCACTTGCACACACGTACACACACGCACACACACGAACACACACGAACACACACGCACACACACGAACACACACGCACACACACGCACACACACGAACACACACGCACACACACGCACACACACGAACACACACGCACACACACGAACACACACGCACACACACGCACACACACGCACACACACGCACACATACGAACACACACGCACACACACGAACACACACACACCCACACGAACACGCACGCACACACGCACGCACGCATGCACGCACACACACACACACACACACACACACACACACACACACACACACACACACACACACACACACACACACACACACACACACACAGCACACACACACACACACAGCACACACACACACAGCACACACACACACAGCACACACACACACAGCACACACACACACAGCACACACACACACACACACACACACACACACACACACAAACAACACAGACACACATACAAACAACACACACACACAAACAACACACACACACTAACAACACACACGCAAACAACAGACACGCAGACAACAACACACACAAACACGTATCTATATTTTTTTCTGTAACCAGTCGAAATCAAGCGCCCGGAGTTTTACTTCTCCATTCAAACCCCCAAAGAGCAGATTCCATGTCCTTAGTGATATTATAAAATCGACCAACATACGGGTAATCGGGAGCCTGAATATTTTATCCTCTAGCCTTATTTTTTTTTCTCTCTCTCATATTATGATTATTTCCTCTAACTACCTTCTACCTTCACGGCCTCCTTTCCTCTAAGGCTTTATCGTTTTGCGATTGTTCTCGCGCACGCATCTGCAGGAAATTAGCTGCCAGCTTAAGGGTATCGCAGCTTCATTTAAACAGGTAGAGTTTCGGCGTCCAAAGATTCCCAGAGATTAAGCTGGCGAAGTTTCGACGCCCCTCCAAAAATAAGCTGGTAAAGTTTCGACGTCAAAAAATGAAGCTGGCAAGGTTTCGACGCCCAAGGATTAAGCTGGCATGAATTCGACGCCTAAATACCTCGTGGCAGGTATTTAGAGGCGAGGAGGGGTGACAGCCGCTTCGGGCGCGTGCAGGGGGTCAGGTTCTTTGCCCGCCTGTAGGTCAGCTGTGCAATCTCTGCTTATCATATCTCGCCTAAGAAGTACCTGCTGGCTTGGTTCCCGCGAAGGAGCGTCGGCAGCAGGCACAAGGAATTCATGTAAAATTACAAATTACCGCTTTGGTTTCGATACAAGGGGCTCACTGGCTGCTGGAAAGGACAGGGTATTTACATTTTTGTGGGGTGTTCGGGGTTAGAATTTTGCAGTATATATGTCATCACTTTAGAGTAGACTGAGATTGATCTCGGATGGGACTTGCAGCTTCCCCAACGCACGGGCGACACGTGCTCGGGACACACGTACACACCACCCATGCGCACCGTACGTGAACTGTGGCTGTGGGAGGAGTCGCGTTAGCTCATACTGGTGTACGGAGCAAAGGCTGTCGTCGAATTTAAAGTCGACCTTTGTGGCGTCGGAACGAGTGTGTTTAGCGAGGCCGAGATCTGCGTGAAAGCATTGTTGCCAGACAGGGAGAGAAGATCGAAGCGAATGTCGGTTGTCGATAACGTGAAGGTTTTATTATCTGTCAGCTTCAGAGTTGTTAGAACGTCATCAACGGGCAGTGTTTTGCAGTCCCGATTGTTAGTGCAAGATGACTGTCTTCGCCTTTTACAAAGATGCTTTCCTGTTGCAG